AAGAGGTGATCATTTCACACGACATCCATCACGACGGCCGTTAATCACTGGCTATATCACTTTCATTTGAATTGTAAATGTCACAAACATTATGGGTAAATGTTGCAGTCAGACGATCGACAACAAAGATGATACAGTTTGTACGTAGATTGACTGTTGTCGTTACAGTATTACTAATGTCAATGGTAGTAGAGGTGTTGAGGTCACAATGTTAGTTGGTACTACTACGGTTATAGTGACAGAAGAAAGTGTGTTATATGTTACATAGCTGTACCAATTGTAGATGAGAGTAATGATTATAATAGATATTCAGAGTTACAGAAAGTGCCTTAGTAGCGAATAACATGTCGAAGTTCACCTTTAGGTAGCAATGTCATAAGGTTGTGGCAAACTAATAGAGCGTTCAAATTTGTCAGTAATACTGAGTTATTATGTGCCCAATTAGATGTTCATATAGCATTGTTATTAATGATGAAAACACGCGTAATTGTGTTATAGAACATTATCCATTGTGGTTGCACGTCATGTATGACCAGACAACTGACATGACTCCAGTCAAAGGTGCCATGTACTCTGTGTGTAACCAACATTGTCAGTGATATTCACTTCAGAGTGTTCACTTGATGTGTAGTTAAGTAATAAAAATTTCGAAGTTGTCATAATTGTGAGTTTGGTTACATTTACAATTTGATGTTTGATATAGCATTGCAAGTTGGTAAGAATGATGACATTTACAAGTTGATGATGTTTAGTATGACGTTATCGTAGTTATAACATTGATCACATTTACAATTTGATGATGTTTAGTATGATGTTATCGTAGTTGTAACATTGATGACATCCTTGATAGAAGGTGAGTAGTAGTAATAGTTGTTGTTGTTGTTGTTGTAAGTAAGTGTATCAATGCTGTATGCGTTACTCAATTCACATTTTTCAATAAGGGTGGAGTATTGTATTATGACTATTGACGTTTTCATAGTTGTGAGTTTGACGAGATCTGTGATTTAACGTCGTTTAGTTGAGGTTTCAAGTTTGTAACATTGACATATACAATTTGATGATGTTTGATATAGCGTTTCAAGTTTGTCATTTTTTTTTAATTTTCCCAGTGTACGTTTCGAGAGTTGTGAGTTGTAAAACATGATATTTCTGTGTTTTTTTGGTTTGATTTTTTAGGTGTTTTGGGGTTTGGGGTTTTGGGATACTCGTTCGGCTCAGTTTGTGGAGACAGTACAATAGTTACTAACTGTTGAAACATATGTTAGTTTGACAGACGACAGAGTTGATATGCAGTTGGAACATTAGATTCACACATGTTCTAGCAAAGTGATAGGACAATTACTTATGTAAATATTAGGTATATGTCATTTGCAATTAGACTTAGTTCATGCAACGCTAATGTGTTCAATTCTGGTGAGGTGTAATCAGGTTTTGTTAGGTGATTCATTGCAGAGTTGCAACAAGTACGACCAAATGTGTCGGTAGAAGATAGTTGTAGATATGATATTTTGTGTTGGCGGGACATTGTTGGTGAAGTGAGAAGAGGTTGTCACGTAGGTGAAGTATGTAATGATAAGAGGTCGTCAATTATGTGTTGTCGTCAAGTAGAGGTCAGAGTAGAGACACAAGAAGAGTGTAAGAGGAGACATCGTCATTGACAGTTAAACGAGCAGGTGATGGCAACTGCAAATGACAAATGTTACAACTATAATAGTAGCTATACTAGAACTTCATGTAATCACAGTAGATAGAGATTGTAACAAATTGAGAGCAAGAGTTGTCACCTCACTGATCACAGTAGATGAGCCAGTGTGACCGAGTAAGTTGTAAACACGACTCATTGTTGGTGTTATTGTATAAGGTTGTAATATGTTGGTGAGTCACTTTTGGGTAATGTTGACAGCGTAGGTATTGTGATAACGGTGATAGTAGTAGAGGTAACGTTGACTTGTCGGTGAAGTAGTAGATTGTTGTAAGTAGAGACGTAGCTAGTCATGTTGGTAATATAGGTGAGATTGTAGTTATAGAGGACACAAGTGGACAATGTGACATATTGGTGATTGCTAGTGTTATGGCGTTGATGTTATATTGGTACTGTCATAGTGATGGTAGGTAAGGGGTCGAGTGTCACAATCTGCTATAGAAATAAAGCATGTGACCATTAATAAGTTTGTTGCTGTTGAACAACCACGAATGTCACTGAGGCCAGAGAAACAACTGTCACAATGTTAGTTGGTACTACTACGCTTATAGTGACACAGGAAAGTGTGTTGTATGTTACTTAGCTGTACCAATTGTAGATGAGAGTAATGATTATAATAGATATTCAGAGTTACAGAAAGTGCCTTAGTAGCGAATAACATGTCGAAGTTCACCTTGAGGTAGCAATGTCATAAGGTTGTGGCAAACTAATAGAGCGTTCAAATTTGCCAGTAATACTGAGTTATTATGTGCCCAATTAGATGTTCATATAGCATTGTTATTAATGATTACAAACACGCGTAATTGTGTTACAGAACATTATCCATTGTTGTTGCAAGTCATGTAGGTCCAGACAACTGACATGACTCCAGTCAAAGGTGCCATGTACTCTGTGTGTAACCAACATTGTCAGTGATATTCAATTCACAGTTTTCACTTGATGTGTAGTTTAGTAATGTAAATTCCGAAGTTGTCATAATTGTAGGTTTGGTTACATTTACAATTTGTTGTTTGATATAGCATTTCAAGTTGGTAAGGGTGAGGACATTTACAATTTGATGATGTTTAGTATGACGTTATCGTAGTTGTATCATTGATGACATTTACAATTTGATGATGTTTAGTATGACGTTATCACAGTTGTAACATTGATGACATTTACAATTTGATGATGTTTAGTATGACGTTATCGTAGTTGTAACATTGATGACATCCTTGATAGAAGGTTAGTAGTAGTATTAGTAGTTGTAATAATTGATGACATTTACAATTTGATGATGTTTAGTATGACGTTATCGTAGTTGTAATAATTGATGACATTTACAATTTGATGATGCTTAATATGATGTTATCGTAGTTGTAACATTGATGACATCCTTGATAGAAGGTGAGTAGTAGTAATAGTTGTTGTTGTTGTTGTTGTAAGTAGAGACGTAGCTAGCCATGTTGGTAATATAGGTGAGATTGTAGTTATAGATGACACAAGTAGACGACATAGTGACATATTGGTGAATGCTAGTGTTCAAGTGTTGATGTTATATTGGTACTAGTGATGACGAGATCATGGTGATGGTGGTTAAGTACCGCAGTCAGAAAATCGGCAACGGCAATGAAAGACGTACAATCTGATTAGTTTGATGTTGCTAGACAAGGACAAATGTCAGTGATGTGAGAGGTATTGATGTTGTTGAGACAGGTGACAGTAGAGTTGGAGTCGAAAGAAACTTAGTACACAATATTGCAAACAGTTGTTTACTTCGTGGATTCACATGATTACTGCACAATAGTTATTGATATACAGAAAACAGTAGCTCAAGATATAGCATGGCAAAGCACACGTTGATGCCACAAACTCACAGATGTCGTAATACGGTTATCACATGAGTCAGATTTTTATGTCA